CACCCAAGGATCATCCCATATGTTTATCTGTGTGCCATCTCCCACTCTCCATATGTAGCCTTTTTTGAAAGTCTGAAGACCACTCCACATGCTCTGCCAAGTGTAAGAACCCCGCTTCTTGAGATGGCAATTTAGTAGGTCTCCATTCGGGAAATATTTTGCCCTCAAAACTCTAGCACACAATGAATCTGGCTCTGCTAGTAACCTCCAGCTCTGCTTAGCTAGGAGGGCCAAGTTAAAACAGTGCACATCTCTGAACCCCATACCTCCATTGCTCTTTGGCACGCACATCTTGCACCATGCGAACCAATGCATGTGCTTCTTCTCCTCCTCATCCCCCACCAATATTGTGACATAGCTGTTGTTATCGCATTACAGATTTGTTTTGGGAGTTTAAAAACTAGCATGGCATAGGAGGGGATGTCTTGTATGATAGCCTTCAGCAACACTTCTTTTCCTCCAAAGGAGAGCATCTTCTCCTTCCATCCCCTGATCCTATTCAGAATTCTATCCAATATGTGTTGAAAGCAGTCCGATCTCTCTACCCCAACAATCGGGGGCAGCCCCAAGTACTTGTCTGTTAACGCCTCTGCCATGATGTTCAGAATAGTGCACACCTCCGCCCTTACTTCCACCGTAGTACACGGGCTGAAAAAATGCTTGATTTGGCCTCGCTTACCAATTGAACCGAGGCAGTACAGCAGTCATCAAGGGCGCGTCGAAGGCTCACTGCATTGCTAGCATCTGCTCGCATCAAAATGAGGGAGTCATCCGCGAAGAGAAGATGAGAGACTGCCGGGGCATCCCTGCATACTTTCACTCCTATCAAGTCACCAATCTCCTCCTCATGAGTAAGCAAGCTTGAGAGCCCTTCCGCACAAATCAGAAACAAGTAAAGGGATAGCAGGTCTCCTTGGCGTAGACCTCGCGAAGGGACAAAAAAGTCTGTGAGAGAATTGTTCAAACGCACTTGGTATTTTACTAACCGTACACACTCCATAATGAGATCAACCCAATCTGGTGTGAAGCCCAAGCAAAGCATGATTCTCTCCAGAAAAACCCACTCGACCCTGTCATAGGCCTTATGCATATCAAGTTTTACCGCACAAATTCCGAACTTGCCCGTTCTCTTCCTCTTGATAGCATGATAAGATTCAAAAGCAACTAAAATGTTGTCCGTCATCAAACGCCCGGGGACAAAGCCACTTTGATTGGGTGAAATAATGTCGGGCAACAAGATTTTTAGCCTGTTTGATAGCAGTTTTGAGATCACCTTGTAAACGACGTTGCATAGACTTATCGGGCGGAACTGTGTGATTACCTCCAGATTCTCCACCTTTGGTATGAGAACAATTGTGGTGTTATTCTATCCTTCTGGTATTTTCCTGTTATTTACTGCCAACAATACTTCATCAGTTAAATCCTCCCCAATTATGTGCCAGAACCTCTTGTAAAAAACTGCATGTAGCCCATCAGGACTTGGTGCCTTGAGGTGACCAATGTTATACAACGCTGCTTTAACTTCCTCCCTGGAATAGGGCTTCATCAGTTCCTCATTCATTGCAGCTAAGACTCTGGGTTTTACCTTGTCCAAAACACTTTGGTCCGGGTTTTGCACTTCGGAGGAAAACAGTCCACCAAAATAGTGCGCCACATGCCCCTTAAGTTGGCCTCATCCTCGATCTAGTCCCCTGAATCTCCTTTCAACTTCTTGATAAAGTTCTTCTTGCGCCTCCCCGTGGCAGCGCGGTGAAAGAAATCCGTGTTTTGATCGCCACGGCAGAGCCAATCAGCACACCCTCTCTGCATCCAATATATCTCTTCTTGTTCAAGTAGATTCTCAATCTGCATATGTAGTTCGTGTTGTCGAGCCACAGCCTCGTCCGACAGCGGGCCCGAATGCACCTCATTCAACTCTTTCTGCAGTTTCCTTAGCCGGGTACGCGGGCCTTTTAGGGTCTCTTTATCACAAGTGTGTAGGGCTGCATGAATCTCACCAGTCACTTGTGAGTAAGGCTCGGTCCCCCTGGATTTTGCCCTATCCCAGGCCGCTTGAACAATCACCTCCACGTCCTCCTCCGCAAGCCACCTGGCTTCAAATTTCCTCAGTACCAGCGGACCCCTTGGTTGTAAGCCAAGCTGAAAACCAGTATCTATTAAAATCGGTCGGTGGTCTGATTTATTAAACGGTTCATTTGAGACCCCATAAGCTGGGAATAGGTCAGCCCAAGAGCTATCTGAGACAACTCTGTCAAGTCTCTCCCGGATTCTCCCTCGACGCCATCTGAAGATGTCACCCAAGTAGTCGAGATCATCAAGCCCACAGTCGCTCAGCGCGGTGCTAAAGGCCTGCATGCACCGTTGGGGGCGTGCCGCTCCCGCATCTTTCTCATGGGATTGTAATATTTCATTAAAGTCCCCTGCCACTAACCATGGCAGATCATCCAAGGTGTGCAGACCACACAAATATTCCCATGACAAGTGTTTATGGTCATTACTTGGCTCCCCGTAGAACCCTGTGAAGCGCCAACCCGCAGGTGTCGCCTCCTTTATTCGTATGTCTATATAGTTTTCATGAATAGCCCGAGAAGAGACTCCCAGACTAGTTTGCCAAAGCATGATCAACCTTCCACTTCTGCCATCACTTTCCGAAACCTCCATCTCATCAAACCACAGCCTCCTTCTTAGTTTTCCTGTCTTAGCCGTATCCAGGTGTGTTTCAGACAGGAACAACACATCTGGTTTTATTCGCTCTTGGATCCCCAAGAGCGCCCGAACTGCCGTAGGTTTACGCATCCCACAGCAGTTCCACACTAGAATTTTCATTGCGACCGGTCGAGCCCCTTCTCGGAGCTCGCCGATAAGTTGTGGCTAGCATCCATCACAGCCTGGTTGTCTTTCTTTGATCTCTTCGAATCGTGCGATGAGGTATCCCCATCCTCATCTTCCTGCTCTGTAGTCTGCTTGCCTTGTGAGTGAACCACTAGCGCATTTGACATAGCTTGTGGGCACTCCTGTGATTGACCTGGCAGCACTACTGCAGGGGCTATTGGATCCGTGAACCCCTCCTCGTAAGTGAGCCTCTTATGTCCAGAGAAAGTGTCTCCAGTCGTCCCCCTACGGGATTTGATAGGGCTAGTTGCAGTGTCTTTCAAATCATCATCCTCCAGGCCAGTAGCCTTCCTCAGACCCCCCGGCTGTGGTCCTCTCTGTCTGCCTCCCCCTCGAGTTCTGACCTGCTTGCCTCCTTTCTCCCGGGCGAGGTGCTAATATAAACTCTCCCCACTCCATAGTCTGCAGATCATGCTTCCCATTACCATGCTCGAGGTATGTATGACCCATATAGCCACACACACACATAGCAGAAAACTGGCATCTTCTCGTATAACACTGAGTAATATACCTTCTTCCCATCCTTTGTAATAGAGATGTATCTCATCAGTGGTTCATGGATATCAAGCTTAACTCTGACCCTTACAATCCTTCCCTCTCCCCATCTAGGGTTTAGCATAACCTTCTCCACAGTTCCTACCTTTTTTTGCCAGCGATCGAACTACGTTCTCCTTCCTGTAGAGCGGAGGGAGATCTGCAATTTGGATCCAGACTGCCAGTTTGTCCAGCACGACCTCGTCATATCTGGAGTATACATCATACTGCTCAATTAGCACTCCATGGTCGCGGAATAGCCATGGCCCCTCCTCTGTGACCCTCTTCCAATCTCCCAAGCAGTTTACCGTCAGAGAGAATAGATTCTCACCTAAAGGTTTGAAGGTTACACCCTGCGCTTGGCTCCAGGTGAGCCTCATCGTATCGTAGAACGACCCCTTACTGAAGGGTTTGTTCGTATGCACCGTCACCAGCGCCATGAACTCCGCTTCCCCAATCTCATCTGGGAACTCCTCTTCAAAGATCAGATCGTCCTCCTCCCGCTCCTGCAGTTTTA